GAAAGAGAAAACAGAAACCACACAGAAGAATATAGGCCAGAAAATTGCTACACTCCATCCAAAATTTTAAAAGCATAGTCATGGGCTGAACATTTATCCCGTTTGAAAAAGAAATCAATTTTTTAATTAAAAATAAAACTCTGATCTACAAGTGGTTGAATTTCAAACCATGGTCTGAGCAGAAGAGCACACACACACAGGCATACGTGCGCGTGCACACACTCGCTGTTATTATTGTACTCGAGCGGCATTGCCTGGCTACAGATGTCACTCCAAAGACACTAATGACTCAGTACATGTCCTGATTATATTAAGTCAGTCAACACTGGGGCTCTGGGGTGGGGAGAAACATTTTCCTATTTAGTACTTCATAATGTCAATCACAATCAACAACTGGATTGAAGTCTGCACGGGGCAACAGTATAAACTTTGGAGCTCAGGACGAGGGGGTTAAATTAATTCCCACAAAATTAATGATCACTTATATCTATTTGGTGCTCATTCAGCCTCAGGAAGACCCAGTGAGGAAGGCAAGATGGATGGCGTCACCCTCATTCCCAGTGGATCTATCTACACATTCAGAGAACTAGGATCAGACCTCCTGACTCTGGGACCAGAGTTCTGAAACACACTCCCTACCTCTGCTTCTTGCATCTCCCCCACCCAAAGGAGTTTTCCAAGGAAGTGAGCAGCTTCTTTTCAGAATAATATAAAAAACAAAATCCTGTAAGAAATAAAGAACATTTTGCAGCAGTGTGGCAAATAGTAAGTGGACTAAAGGAGTGGCTGGAAAATTATTTCAGAATTCAGCTTAGTTTTTCCATTCGCAGAATTTAACACTAACATAGGTTATGTATAGAGGGATGTAAACTCTTCCCACAGCAGCATGGTCTCCACTGGTTTTTGTATCCCGAGTGGGACAGACGCTTGCCACAACTGGTTCCCACTGGGGACTTAATCCCGAGGTGGGACAGGCCAAAAGCCAAGCCCCGAGCCCAGGAGCAAATCTCTGCTCGTGAGGCACACGTGGGAGCTGCCTGATGTGGGGCTCTCCTGCCCGACCTGAGACTCCCAGAGGCACTGCATGCCGGGTCCCAAGATGAAGATTGTCTTAGTGCCACCCTATTTCTTCCCAGGAATTTACAGGAGCCTGGCTCTGAGCCTCGGAGAGATGCTCGCCACTGACTGTGCCCAAGATGAAGGGTGAAGGGCGAAGGGCAAAGGTTGGGACCAGGCCCACAGGAATGAAAGTACACACGCGCTTTCTGCTCATGTTAAAAGATGAGCTCTGAAAGGAAACTGTGAAGCCGTCGGTCTTCTCTTGGAGAGGGGTCTGGCAGCCAATGGAGATGTGTGGCTAGAGGAAACGGGCTTTCATTTATTTTCTCTTAGTGATAATCTGGCTCAGATGCACCATTTCAGAAAACAAGGCAGGCCTCGTGTGCTCAGCTGACGTAGCCCTAGTAAGGCTGAAGATGTCTCCAGAAGCGTCCTGACTCATGCATGAGGGTCCGGGCCTTGCTTCAGCAGCTGAGCCCTGGCTAGAGGGCCTGGCTTCTGTCACTGTGCAGTGAGAAGCTTGTGACGGGGGATAGACAAGTGTCATAGATACACTTGCTGTTTTTTAAAATGTCTAAAACTGCACAGAGAAACAGGATATCAGATTTAGTCAAAACACACACAGACAAGTAACCTGAAGAGCCTGAGCTGAAAGGTGGATGCAGGATGAAGTCCTAAGATAATGGTAGGGTTTATCCCAATTGCCTGGCCAACAAGTAGCCAGATGTGGTTTCGAGGGTTTTTTTTTTCCCCAAGTGCTGGCCCAGGGAGGCGTACATTCATGTCACTTATAACCAGGGAAGGAGATGGTCTCAGTACAGGTCTATTCATCGAACTCTGCTGGGGACCACTGTCCTCCAGGGTGAGCGATCCTGTCGCCCGGCACGTGGGCATGCGCACAGCAAGAAAAAACCTCCAGGGCCAGATCTTTGGTCCTGGGATTTTAAGAGAAGACAAAGACAAAAGGCACATGAAAGTGACTGACTGAATAAAAGAAAAAAATAAAGTAGCTGGAAGATACATATCATTACTTTGATTTTTTTTTCAACATACCTTTTTTCCCCCATTAAAAGAGAAATTCAAAATATAAACTTATATTTATTATTTTACATTCAAGTGAAACTTCCATCTGGGGGCTCAACACAATTTTAGGCCACATCTAGCAATTTATTACTTTGGTGCCTTTTACTTAATCCAATGGAAGAATTCAGCCCTCTATTTAAAAAACAAAAACAAGACAGCTTTGTAATCCAAGCTGTCACACTTATTCACACACACACATAGGCACACACACAAATCCAAAAACCTCTATGTAGAAAAATAAAGGATAAACATTATCCATCTATTTTATACTGTGTACTGGAACTTTTACATACTTTTTTTTTTTCCTTTAATGTTTTCGGTCACTGCACATTTTCTTCCCTCCTGTGTGATCTACAATTCTAGGGGAGGGATCTGCCACGGTGAAGCAGAAAAGCCACATTCCTCTCAGGGAAGGAAGAGAAAAAGCCATTTCTTGCTCCCCTTCCAAAGCCTTTCCCCACCTACCACCACTTCGGATGTCCCTGCGGACGGCCTTCTGGTAAGCGGCTGTCCCATCCTCTCCTCTCTAAGGTGTCAGGGAGCCGCAGGCCCATCCCGCAAACACCTTGTGAAAATAATCGTGGTGTCAGGGCAAGGGAATGGAAGCAGGCAGAGAAAGCCTTTTAAAAATAAAAGATTCTGGAATCACTGCCCACAGCCTATTCCTTTAGTATGGCGTTCGATTCTCCAGCTTGTGCTTGGTGAGAAAGTACTTGAAAAACTCGTAGACAGACCAGGAAATGGCAGTGGAAGGCATCTGGTAGACGATGCGGGCTTGTATGCCCTTAAAGTAGCCGGGCAGGCCATTGAGCTGGTACACCATCCGGAACGCGTTGGCCATGCCCGACAGCCGGCCGCTGATGTTGGCCAGGCTGAGGGCCATGTTCTCCTGAGTGTTGAGGAGGGTCTTACAGACGTCCAGGGGGGTGGTGGCGGCCGCGGCAAGGGCCCCAGCCAGCCCTCCGGAGATGATGTGGGACCACGGGTTGTAGCCCCGGTGAGGGTTGACCTGCTCCTGCAGGAACTCATAGGTGATGAAGTGGATGGACTGGAAGGGAATGTTCATGGTCAGCTGCGTGGTGTAACTCCGGTAGAAGGCCCCCAAGCCCTCGGTCCTCCACACTGTCCGGATGCAGCTGAGGGCCGACCGGTGTGGTGAGTTGTACATCTGCATGCGCTGCTTCACAACTGTCGTCGGAGCCGCAGGGCACAACAGACGGCCAGTCAGTGGGCAGTTGGTTGGTTTGGCCCCACCCCAGGTCGGAGTGGAAGGGAAAGCCAAGCCATAAAGAGAAACAAGCAAGTTTAGACACGCTGGTAACAGGTCACAGCTAGCACACACACACAGCCCTAGCCTGAGACCACAGAGGGCCAGCTCCGGGCAATCCCGACCCAGTGCCAGGAAGTGGCTATTTCTTGAAGTTTCTCTGGCCTGAATCTTAAGGTGGTCCCTAAATCAGGCCACCACTTCAGACTGGATTCCCTGATCTGACCCCCAGATCCTGACTGCCTAGGGCATCACACCCGCCAGAAATCTAAATCTTTCTCCAACCCCTCTGCCTTCCTCCATCCCAAAATATCTCCTGGATGCGTGTCCCATCTTTTCTTCTATGGTCTGTACCTCTGAAGTGTCATTAGCTTCTGTGTCACAGTATTCTTGGAATAGACGCTAGAAATATATCAGCCCAAGTTCAGTGACAACCTCCAATGAAGACCCTGGCTTTGTTCATATAAAAGTAACTGGTGGTTCAAAAGACATGAGGCAAATGAGGGCCAATTACGGTCCCTTAGACTTAGAGTTGTCATCAGCCCCACACATTGCCAAAATGAACACATACTGTGTGCTTTTCTTTACTTCGAAAGAAATAAAGTCCTTAAATCAATATAATGTCAAGAAGAAGAGGAGAGAGTGAAACCTCATTTTGTTTTCTCCTCTGAAAAATAAAAACAAAATTCTTGCCCAGCTGACATGGGCTAAAACTGACCAGGTCCCTGTATATATCGCCTTGAACACAAAAAGTGAAGCCCACCTCCCAATCTGACCCATCAGGTCACTGAAGGACAAAACAAGTCCCCTGTCTGCTAGGGCATGGGAGGCAGCCGAGAGCAAATCAGAAAGTTTAACCTTAAAAACAAAAACAGACAAACTTGCAAGACTAGACTTTAAATGTTCCCTCCAATTCTCCCTATCATTTTCAGATGGGGGCGGGGGGCGCAGGGGGAGAAAGGCCCTCATGTCATAGACTTTCAACTCAGCTGAAAGCAGGCCCACCACGAGGTGCCAGAGTGCCTCGCTACTCAGACCCAGCCGGCTAAGGACGCTAAGACACAGAAAAAGCTGACAGAACTCACGTCTGCTCTACTGAGAACTGTTTTCTAATGCTCCCAAAATTCAAAAGAAAAAAAAAAAAGAGCTGAGGTAGGAGGGGACAGCTACAACGAAATGGCCAAATGTTCATATAAAGAGTGATGCACACATGGGGGTTCATAATACTCTTGCCACTACATTTGCAAACGTTTGAAATTTTCCATCATAACTTCGAATTCCTTTTAAAAAAGAAAATTGAACGTAAGCCCTCATGAAAGGTCTTTGACAGATTCTTCCTAAATTTGTCTAGGGCTGATAAAGGTAAACAAGGGCCAGAGGAATGTGAGAGTGAGAGTGTGTGCGTGCTTGTGTGTGTGTGCGCGCGCGCGCACATGTGCACACAGCTTTTATAGTGCAAAAGCATACAAAGGAATCACCAGGAGCGCTTGTTAAAACGAAATTCCCAGCCCCTATCCCCAGATTCTAGTTTAGTAGGCCTGGGCTGGGACCTAAGAATTAGCATTTCTCATGCTCCCAGGAGATGCTGATGGCTGCTGGTCCCTGGGTTACACTCTGAGTAGCTCTATTTAAGAGAACAGGAATACCGAAAGCTCAAATGCTCATGTCCCTTCTCTGGGCCTTTAATAACATGGTAAAGAATTCTCCTGGGAGAATCTATTCTGCCTGGGAGCCAGGAATCCCCTAGCCCCAGCTTGTGTCCCCTTCCCCCCACACCTTTTTTTCCAGCCCCTTTGACATCCCCTGCTGCCATTCCCTGGGGCCATGAAACATTACCTTCTGCTGGATTCATTACTGCATCGTGGAGCAGGGTGGCCATACTCCCAGCTATCCCTGCAAAACAAACTCCAGAAAATTACCCTCCGGGACCAGGAGTTCTGAGGAAGTTCCTGGAGCCTAAAATCAGACGGAACCCTGGGTACAGCTTTCTGAGAAGCGAAATTCACTGTGAACTCCACCCAAATGAGCGTTGACTCTTAAAACTCTAAAGTGATCATGAAAATACTGGATAAAGTAACACAGGCACAGTCACCCACATGTTCATCTCGCAGAAACCTAATTTTCTCTCTTGTAGTCAACTCTGGTTCAAGGCTATACCTGCTAACGCTGGACAGTATCCAGAAACCCATCACGTCGTTGACTTTTTCCACTGTTTACGTTTTAATTCTTGCTTGTCCCTCACCTCTGTCTACAGATGAACTCACTCTGTCTGTACACTGGGGCAATCAGAGGGAATGATACCATGCATTTGGCTGAGAGGAGGGAAAATGCCAGAAGAGAAATCTTTAAGAAAATTCCTTAATAAAATCTAGGTATTAAAAAAAAAAAAAAAAAAAAAACAGGCATGGGAAGCGGACACCCAGGAATATCTGCACCTAGAAGATTTTCAAGGTTAATTTGCAAAGATATGACTTGTCTTGGAGACAGCTGACCCTATAGGAGGCTCTCACCTGGCTTCAAGAACCAGGAACTTCGAAAGCCTGATTTAGGCCTAGGATTTTATTTTTGGCTTTGGGTTTCTTCCCTCTGCGGGTAACATGCCCAGCAATTAAGATTACAGCTGGAAGGTTGTAGGAATGACAGGGACACCAGGATGAGGCTTCGGAAATGCATAGACTTCCACCTCCCTCCTTCACACATACACTTATGATTATCCCCAGAAAGGTCAACGTGGACCCACAGCACACACACCCCAGGGAAGCAGTAACAGTGCTGGGCAGAACTTGGCAAAAATTGGATTCCATCAAACCGCTGTCAAGGGGATTAGTGACCAAGGAGCTAAACCATCACATACGCAGTTTCAACAAAATGAGGGCTTATAGCGACCACCTCGGTAAATGCAATTAATGGCCAATTTTTAAAACGCAAAACAAACATCTTCAAACCAGCCAGGTGCAGTTATTACAATCAAGGTTTGCTGGTGGAAGGGATGCTTTTTGGTTCTGAGAACAAAAAGAGAAGGAAAGAAAGTTGTTGCTGGTCACATCTACCTCTCCACTGTGGAATAATTAATTTGTTAAAATAAGTACACCGTAGGCCGCTATCCACAGTCCCATTCCATACCCAAACAAAAACCACCAAAAGCCGAACCCACAGAAGAGGCGAAAATAACCGCTCAGCCAGGCCTGGTAAGACGTGTCTACGGAAAAGCTGCCCGCCAAACTCAAGCCCCAACCCCCTTTCCCGCCCCGCCCTGTCCCGTCCCGTCCCATTCTCTCAAAACAACAAAAGAAAACTATTTCAGCCCTTGATCGCAGGGAGATGCAACTCAGACAAACGGAAAAGAATGGGGGTGAAATTCCCAAATCCCCAGAGGCTTAAGGTGGGAAAGGCCATCTGTGCTGGAGCAAATCCTTCGTCAGCCATAAAACTTCTTGACCTTTTAAAGCTTAGTTAGATCTTGCCGTTGTAGAGACCTGTTGAACCAGTTTTTAAATAGTCTCAAAGAAGCTGTCCGGATAACTTTTTTTTTTTGAATCCAGTATTCAAAAGTTTTGTTCCTATTCAGGGTTTTTTTTCCCCCCTAGATCTGATCATTAATTGTTTTTGAATGTTTAAAAAAAAAAACAAAAACAACAACAAAAAAGAAAAACCCACACAACAATGAAAACTGAAACACCTCTGTCACCGATTCCCCAGGCTTCAGAAAGCGGAGGGGAACATAAAAAAAGCATGTGTGTGTGTATGCGTATGTTTGGGTGTGTGTGCACACACAGCTCTAGAGTTCTTTATTCATAAGCAAGCGTGGCAGAGACGAGGCGTCAGGCTGCTGGGTCACAGGGAGAAGAACCCTGGGGAAGGCTCTGTCGAAGGACAGAATTTTCTAACTCCAGACAAACGCTTTCAAATACCATTGGCTAGGTGGCTGTTTCCTTGGTGGTGGAAAACGGCATTTAAAGTCCTTTTCATGTTCTCATAGCAGGCAAAATACATGGCGTGGGCTGGCCCTGCGCCCATCATCATCACATTGAGGCCTCGCAAGGGCCTCCAGAAGCCTTCAGTCCGCACGATTTTCTTGAGGGCTCCGTAGACGCTTGTGTACTGGGCTTTGGGATCCGGATTCAAACTCTGCATTCGTGTCTGGAAGAGGGTGAGAAACCAAGAAAAGAGTGAGCATTAATGAGGATGGTAAAGAGGGAAGACCCAGAGAGAGTGAGAGAAAAAAGCCCATTTTCACAGTTTCACAAAATTTCGTGGTGAAGAAAGCAATTCTTTCCCAGTGCACTCAACTCTCCCCTCTCCCTTCTCCACTCCCCTGACATACACACATTTACATGGATTTCCTTATACTCGGCAAAAGGAGGGAAGGATGAGGGGCAGGATTTGGAGCAGGAAGACATGCCCTGCCACTGGCAAGCTCTGTGACCTGTGATGAATCCCTTTACCTCTCTGGGCCTCCGGACCCTTAATTGAAAACAACAACAACAACAGCAACTAGGGTTCTTGTGAGCATCAAATAAAACAATGTGAAGCCCCTCAATAAACTCACAGACCTAGTCAAAGAAAAGTATTATTATTATCCTGAAGTTCCCACTCTGGTTCTAAAGTCTTCTGTGTCCTCATATATCCGAGACCTCCGTGTTCTAGAAGCTCCCATTCAGCTCCTACCCTGAAATGTCCCCAGAACCCCCGAGCCTGTGTCCAGTATTTCCGCCATAAGCTTGTTTACTATAAAGAGCTTTGCCACAAGCATTGTTCCTGAACAACTAATTGGCCATAAGGCAATTTCTCCATAAAAGATAAAATAATGAAAAATAAAAGACAGACATTAAAAAGGACATAGTCTAACATGAGAAATTAAAAATACTTTAGTGCAATAAAATGAAAATACATTGTCTTCAAAGTATGATACATTTATTCGGTTGTGTTTCCTCGTTTGGCATCACTCTTTTCCTTTTTTGCTACAATTTCTTCCTTCGTTAAGGGAGGTATCAGTTTCCAACTAAAGAATCGATAATGCTCTAAAAGATTCTTGTGAATTAGTAGTGACCTCTTTTATATTTGCATAGTTTGGTAAACTTTTGGTGTCGACGGGTGGGAGGGCTGACTGTGGTCACTGAAGGATTTGCAAATTAATATGTGATCCTTTTCTAGCATATGATGCAATCTGGCTGTACACACAGTTCTGCAAACCACTTTTTATGTAAGTGTCACCATCCACTGTCTTAAGACCACCATGTCTGCTCATCACTGGATATGACTATGAGAAGAGCTAAGATTTATTTAAAAATGGGAGCACTGTGAAAACTTTGTAAAAGGAGGAATAAAACCAAACTGACAACTAGCTTAAATACATCAAGACTGCCAAATGTAACCCAGACTGTCAACTAGATATTTTATCTTTTACCCTGAAATTGCCTTACGGCCAATCAGTTGTGCAACAAAAATGTCTGCAATGAAAATGCTCATGGGGGAACTCCCAGAACCCTTCCGGACCTCACCTCCTTCATTTTCTCCAAATACTTCTGACGTTCTGTCTTTATAAAGTAGCACTTAAGTATAAAAGGTCTTGTTCTTAATTTCTTCATATGTGTTGTCTTGCCTCCTTGAGGCAGAGACCCAGCTTTCCCTATCTCTGTCAGTGGCATCGTGCTACCCAGGCACTTGAATAGATGTGATGGTTCATCTTCCAGGGAGGCTGTGGTACTCCCACTGGTACCAAATACGGTCCGACATAGTCTAGGAGTTGCTGGGAAGGCATTTTTTAAAGATGAGATTAACGTTTTAATCAGTAGATTTTAAGGAATGCAGATTACCCTCCCTAGTGTGGGTGGGCCTCATCTAATCAGTTGAAGGCCTGAAGAAAAAAATACTGATGTCTCCCAAGGAAGAAGGACATCTTCCTCCACAGTCTTTGGAATTCAGCTGTCACATCAATTCTTCCCTGGGTCTCCAGCCAGCTTACTCTGCAGACTTTGGACTTGCCAGCCTCCATCATCACTCAGTTTGGAAAACCACTAAATAAAGGCCCCTCCCAGTCCTAGCACTTTGTAATAAGGACCTCCATCCAGACTTGGCAGTATGACAGTCACCCCTGGTTATGTGATGGAGGGGAGGGGACGTTGGGGGAAGGGCAGTGTGTGCGAAGAGGGCATAGGTGGGACGCAGTGGGGCACACGGTACCAAGGCTTTAGAGACAATCAGGCCAGCGCCATCCATCTGATTTCTAGCTCTGGGGTTTCGAGCAGGTTCCTTAATTTGGGGGCATGAAATAATCCCCCAGAGAGCCGTTGGCAGACTGAGATAATGGTGGGAAACACCTGGTATGGACGGGCAGTCAACAGTGACCATCCCCTCTGCTCCCTGCCTTTATGTACGTGAAGGCCTCAGGTGGGTCTTTCTCTTACAAAGATTCTCACATACTTACAGGGGAAATCTCGGACTGATCTCTCATCACCCTCCCCCACCACCACCACCTTTTTAAATTAGGGGTGAGGCAATGGGAAGGGTAAATATTATGAACCAAAACACATCACCTTCCTAAGGTAAAGAGAACATCTTTGTCTCCACACTCAGTGGACTTCTCTGTTCTCGAGGGGTGGTCTACAAAAGGGCAGGCCATATTTAATGAGACGTGGCTCAAACAGAGGGAAACGGCTCATGAGCACAGAGCACCCAGGAAAGACCACAGTGGCCAGGTTTGGGAACAAAGCCTTTTTAGTCCTGCAGGTCCTTCATTTCTCCAACCTGCCAGCAGAGAGCACCCGCTCAGGGCTGGGCACCAGGATACAGAGAGGAAAAGTCGATGGGGAAACAAGGAAAGTGTGAGATAAGGAGAGAATGATGAGGACCATCGAGGGAGCCGAAAGGAGCTCAGAGGGAAGACCAGGAGGGACCAAGCTGCACCATTACGGTCGTGGGAGCTTCCTCAAAAGAGAGGCTGAGACAGACTGGAGGCGGCCACGTAAGAAGTAAGGCGGAAGAGGCTGGAACCGGAAAGGACATAATCAGTTTAGTCTCTCTTTTTCCTCCCCAGTGACTCTGCCTATAAAATGCACAACAGAGCTGGGCATTTTCTATCTACCTGTGGACCAGAGAAAAAAAGTCAGGGGTGGGTAGAAACAACCCGAGGGTTCATCAATGGATGGACGGATGGATAAGCAAAATGTGGTATAAACATACAATGGAATCTTATTCAGCCTTAAAAAGGAAGGCCATTCTGACACATGCTACAACATGGATGAACCTTGAAGACACGATGTTAAATAAAACAAGCCTGACACAAAAGGACAGATACTGTATGAGTCCACTTATAAGAGGTACCTAGAGTAGTCAAACCATAGAAACAGAAAGTAGAATGGTGGCTGCCAAGGGCTGAGGGGAGAGGGAGAGGAAAGTAACTGTTTAATGCAGACACAGTTTCAGTTTTGCAACTTGTAGACTTTCACGGGTGGCAGGTGGTGACAGTAGCTCAACAACGTGAACGTACTTAATTTAAGACCACTGAACTGTACACTTAAAAACGGTTCAGATAGTACATGTGACTTATATATATTTTGCCACAACTGAAAAAAAAAGTCAGGGGATGAGGGTGAGAGAAAGAAAAAGAAACTGAATGAAGTAGGATGCATGGAGAGAGGGAAGAAATTTTAAAAATGCAACAAAAACAAACGACTAAAAAAAAAAAAAAACCAAAAAAAAAAAAACCGAGACAGAATTTCACAGATCACCTTTCCTGTCCTGGGTTTCAGTTCCTGCTTAAGGCCTCGCTGAATGGCTCTCTCATTTCCTTATAATAAATCCCCACTCTCTGCATTTTAATTCTCCCCTCTTAGAAATTCATAATGCACATCAGCATATTAAAGGCTCTCAGATGTCCTTCAGGAAAGCAGCCTGTTGAACTTGGTTTAACATGGCACTTCTGAAACATTTGTCTTTGGCAAGGGAAGGCCTGGCTCACTGAATAACCAGTTCCACCTCGCAGAACACACGAGAAAATATAGCTGTAGCCACCAGCTGGCCCTGGAAGCAGGAAATGCAGCGATCAGCTCCAGGGATCAGGACCCCCCTGTCCCTGCAGAGTGGTCAGCACGAGCAGTCTGGAAGGCGCCCCCTGAGAAGGAGAGTGGCAAATAAGCAGGAGGAGCTCTCGTTTGTGTGTTGTCTCTTTAGTCAACACCCACTGCATAACTGCATAACTGCTGTCCACTCTCAAAGGGGCAGGATGAAGAAAAGTGCCTTAGCCCAGAAACCAGAAGACCTGGGTCTCTGGCCTGGTTCTGCCACTCAGTGTGTGACCTGAGCAAGTCTCCTCCGGCTCTAGGATGATGAGGCTATAGGAGGGTGCCACATCAGTGAACTGGCCAGAATGGAATGTGCGGTCAAGCCCCTTACTCCCAGTCTCCCCTGAGACGACAAAACAGGACCAACTTTCCTTGGTGGCCTGTCCTCTTATTGAGGGGAGGAGGGAGGAGAGAGTGGAAAATATGTGTGCCGTCCCAGGTAAGCGCACAGGATCACATGACGGGAGCCGAGGGGGACCTGGGCAGAGAGCACAGCTAGCTCAGCCCCTGCCTTTGCTGAGAGGAAACTGGGGCAGAGCGGGAAAGCCACTTGGCCAAGATCACACAGATAAGGAGGCACGGATCTGGGATCTGGGATCTGGGATCTGGGATCTGGGATCTGGGCCCTGAGCCCTGGGCCAGGATAGAAAAGAAAAGCGAAGGGAGCAAGCCAAGCCTGGCGGGAGACCTCAGGCCACGCTGAGCATCCTGCAGAGGACAGCCCCACCCAGCCCAAGCCCCTGCAGCCTCACTTGACCACCGTCCTCCCCACCCCGACCTGAACGCAGCTGGGGCTTCTCCACCCTCTTTTCTCAACCTTGAAAAATAAGAAACGAGTCATACTCTAAAAAACTTCCCATGCCAAAAAAACACGTGGCACTTAAAGGACCGGGGGAAGATAACGTGAAATCCAGCCGTTCATCCATTCAAAAGCACCTGCCACACTCCTACTCTAAGATGAGCGCGATGGGAGATGGGGCAGAGGCGGGGGCTCCCGGTGCCTGGTGTGAATACACAAACACACAGCACACCGAACGAGGGGTACAACTCCCACCAAGGGTCCGGGGCTGTGCTCCA